TAAAGTTAAATACATATTACAAAAATTGTTTGATATAAGAAAGCCAAATCCAAAACAAAAAGAAAAAATTATAGTGTAACAATTCTACTGTAGCAAATCCTAACAAGATATGCTAAATAAGTGGAATTCAGAGTTTGAGGGCACACATCAAGAAAGTTCCTACTCCATGCCTCACTCCTAAACACATAATCGTATCCACACATTTATTAGCTTCTCGATAAATATGAGATAAATGAACCTCTTAATCTTGATTAATCAAATCTTTATTCTTTGAATCAACCCCCATTTTATAATTCTCAGTCGTGAGTGTTACAAACACCTGTTTACTATCTATATGCAATTTAACTTTCCTGTATGATTTATAGAAAACATGATTTCGTCCTTCATAAACTCCCCAAAGCTCCACTACTACAATAAAACACTTTCCTATGAAAATCCTTCTAACCAAACGCCATTAATCAAAATCTATTTAGTATACAATAGTTTTGACATTTTTTTAGATGTCGTAGTTTTTGTTTTGTACTTTATAGAGATGGAATCATTGAATATTTATATAATTTTATTGTCGAGACCTATTTATGTAATTGAGTCATCCTATTTTATCTGAGTCACTCATATGATTCTACCAATGACTCTTTAGTTTAAATAACGACCCTTGACTCGTGACATTGACAGATCAATTGCAAAGTCATTTTTAAAATATTGCATGAAACGTTTTCTTTTACTTCAATAAATAAAGGAGAAATTACATTCAATTCCTCTAACATAATTTTCTTTTGATAGAAAACACCATTACATTAAGTGAAAATCCAAAAGGCATTACAACCATCAAGAGACATATGACATAGTAAATACCCCATTCATAGTCTAAAAGCATCTCTACTAGTAAAAAAACTAAAGACATAAAAGACATTACACATAGATTGATCACAAACTAAACAAACATAACCAAACCAGAAACAACAACATATCATCCATCCATTAACTCTCTTAAGAACACCATTAGTAGCAATATAGGAATGAGATTCCATAGTCTTTTTTCAAATCCAATTAAGGATGATTTCTTTGACTTGTGTCTGCGCATTTCGACTGCCTTTGGTCTTAATATTGTCCATTTTTATGGAATGTTCAAAACTTAATTGATGATTAGAGATAGTGTTGATCCAAGACACAAAAATCCTTTGAGCCTTTTTATTAAACACTAAGAATGCATATTTAAACTTCAAAAGACAAAAGAATAAAATAGACGACACAAAAACAAAAATGGAAAGATCTGAAAGAGAGATAGATTGCAACATGTGGTAAATCCATGATGGCTTTGGGGGTGGGAGAAACGTAGCCAACATCGAGGATGTGTGAGCAGAAATATGGAAGAGAGTTACACACACGATTATTAAGTTTGAGATGCTAGAAACAATTTTAACGAGTTTTCCATCTTCTAATGGTGGTGGCTTCGGTGGCGACCAGATCAGTAGAGAGAGAAGCAGTTTGACATTGTTTCGTGTTGTGAAGCACATGTACTCCATTTTAGGTAAAGTATCGGTACTCGGTACATATCGAGTAACGGTACGCATACTGTAGGCACCAAAGTTGTACCAACTTTTTTTGTTTTCTTAAGTTGGTACACCAACCGGTAAACATTTCGTACCACATACCCAACTTTTTAAATTTTTTTCCGAATGGTATAAGTTGGGCTTTTTTTACGGAGTAAAAATTAAGTTAATTATTCTATTTATAAATAAAAAGGTTCTTTCACAACTAAGTTCTTCATCTTCTGCTGAGAGAAATTGGAGCACATATGGATTTGCTTATTGAAAAGGAATAAAATCAATTCAAAAAGGGTTGAGGGTTTAGTTTTTTTTCCATACAAATCTCTGTCTTCTCTCGAAAAATAGTAAGGTTTATAATGAAGGAGCAACAAAAATGTAGGATGTTGGTGGAGATGAATGATATCTATTTGATGGAATTGATATTCTTGCAGTCCTAGTCTTTTTCTCAATGAACCTGAACTAGAAGTCGCTCTTTTTAATGACATTAGAGAGAAAAACATTGATATTCAACATGATTTCATGACTTACTGATACTTTTTAAGTTCGATTTATTATGTTATTGCACAAATATTAACTTTTTTTAAGCAATTTTTTTTATAATTTTAATCTTTTGTTGTTATTTAAACAATATAACTCCTTTGTTATTTTTATAATTATATTTTAAAAAATTATACTAACCTATCTGTACCTTAATTTTTTTTAAATTGTCGTATTTCGTACCAGTACCCGTACTAGGTAGTGGATACATATCCATACCCTATGTAATGTAGGTTTTACGGTGGAGAAAGAAAGAAATCGATGAGAAAGCTAGTACCAATGGAAACATGAGAATGAGGTTGGATGAAATAGGTATTTCCTTTCGTAGAAAGGGAGGTGACTATAAGAGTGGTAGATGGAAACAGTGGTGGAACCAAAAACTTTGGATTGTGGGGGCAAAATCCCGCCATAACCACTGTTTTGCGGCGCCGTTATAACATATTATGATAAATAAATATACAATATTAGTCTATATTACCATTATAACGGCTTCAAACAATGTCATGTATACCTAACACAACGGTTATGGCGCACCGCATTTCATAACAATAGTCTATAAAATAATTTAAAAAATTAAATATTTTAAATTTTTAAAAATTATATAGCATAATATTTTTCTAAGTATAATGTTTTATTTTATCTGTATACATACTTAAAGAATTATATGAAATAAAATAGAATAAATAACTAAAATGTATATCATTTAAAATTATTATCACTTATAATTTGACATGTTTATTTTTTAAAAATTTAATTCATGGTGACAATAATTATTTTTTATTTCAAGGTAAAATGGTAAGATATAAATTAATCGTTATTGTGTCATTTTTTTCTTATGTGGGGGCAAAAGCCCCCTTAGCATTACACATAGATCTGCCATTGGATGGAAACCACCATAAAGTAAAGGTGGGAGGAGGCTACTATCAAACCCTAAAGATTTAGGGAGAAATTTTTTAAAGAGCGGAGAGAGCATCTCTCTAGAAATTAATATGATTTATTTGTCGCCTCCTCTAACATTATTAAAGAGACACTACACTTCGTTTAATTTCTAAAGACCAACCAAAAAATAATAGATATAGTCGTTGGTATATTTCAATTTTCATAGCATGTTAATAAAAGAACGGAGGTGTTTGTATATTTGAATTTATAGAAGACTTCAATGGCATTTTAATAAATGTTATGGGGAAAAGTAATAGTTATTCTCTTTGCTTATAAAAATAAAAAAACAAAGTTTACTTTTGTGTTACATTTAGGCAATGCTACCAAATTACACATAAATTTGTTTATCTTAATGTGGCAACTAACATAAATTGATGCTAATCTACTAGGGGCAAGTCTCGACCTCTAGTTTTTCATGTGTTAATGAATGATAATCACATGGTAGAATTAAAATCCCTATGAATGTGTTAATTAATCTTCCTGTTTTTGTTGTAACATATGATCATGGACAACTTTCTCCAACAAGTGCTTATTTAGATTCTAGGGTTAGTAGTGAAGACCATTTTGATGCTATGGAGCATTGAACTTGAAAGGTCTAGTCAAGTTTCAATTTTCTTTTTTGCCCACCAACTGTTTGATGATATTAATCTCATCCACATTTTAGCTTTTGTTTATGAATACAACCTATAACCGACGATTAAGTATTTTTAAGCTTCGATCTTATATGGTGGCCAAGCTTTGTTCTTAAATATTGAACTTTTGTTACCTAACAAAATTTTAATGTTAGTTTTTCGTACATATATAAGTAAATATGGATGAATTGTTTCTGCTGTATGTATACTTGTAAAGTTTAGATCTGTGTTATGGTTTTAAGATTACCATGTTTTCTTCTGTTACTCTGTGTACCCTACAATTTCTTTCTTAAATGTTAAATAACCATACTGAGTAAGCTGTGAACAATTTTTGGAGCTTTGTGTCTTTACCTTTTGTTTTAAATTTCTATTCCAACTTCTACAACTGTTACAGCTTAAACTAGCTGGCCTGGAAAGCAATGTCTGGCTCATTTACTACAATTATTATTAGAAACACAAATTTTAATATTTTCACACATTTACAATTTCTTTTCTAACTTTCTTTTCATCAGTATTTATTATCCACCTACATGTAAGCCTAACAATTGATATTTATTGGTAAATTAGCATATTCTTGTGTGATTAATTCGCAGAGACTAATCATTCGAGGTGATTCAGATGACATAGATGTCTCAATTTTTCAGAGGTTAGTCACCGTTTACCTATGACAAAATAAATAGAGACTCTATTTAACTATAGTTAACTATGAGAAACATTTTATAAGGTCTTATTTAATTATGATTTAACTGTGACAAATTTTGAGTCCTGAGTGATAGTCTGTCTTGCATGCCTTCAAAAACAACCCTATTTAGATTTGTTTAAGACGGTTAATCTCTTTCAATCAGAGTTTAACCATAAACACCGATCAAATATTGATCTTCGAACACATGTTTCACGTAATGTAATTAGAACTAACAATTGGTTTTGTTGTTCATGGCTTATATTATTTAAACAAATGTTTAACATGCATTTGAGGAAATCCAACTCTTAATTATAGAGCTAAAGTTCTATGTGATTATGGGATGTAGAGAATTGTAGACCAGGGAACTCTTTAGTTACACATGCCCATGGTGTGACTAATTTTTTTGCTTTGTTTATTGTAATAAAATTTGACACGGAATCTTCAAAGAAGAGATAAGTTTGTTGGGGGTTGAGGCGAACATTTTTGTTGACATTTGCATATTAGTCCTCTTCCCACACAGCACTCACATCACTCCCTTATAAAGTACCTTGTTAATTTTAATTTCACACACTCATCCAAATTAATTCATTGTAACTCAAACTCTCACACACACGCACAAACTCTTTTTCTCTCTCTTTCTCTTTCTCTCTTCTCTCTCTAATGGAGTTTCTCTCTGTACTTTTTGGCTTTACAATAATGCACTTGTGTTTCCTGATCTGGAAATTGTTTGATCTGAGAAGAGACCAAGAGTGTTACATATTAAGCTACCAATGTTACAAGCCAAGGGATGAAAGAAAGCTTGGAAGTGATCTTTGTGGCAAGATCATAGCAAACAATGAGTATATTGGTCTGAATGAGTGCAAGTTCTTCCTCAAAGCCATTGTCAACTCAGGGATTGGCGAGGAAACTTACGCTCCAAGAAACTTCATCGAAGGCCGAGCTGTGAACCCGATATTGGAAGATGAAATCACTGAGATGGAAGAGTTCTGTCATGACAGCATTGCAAAGCTTCTGACCAAATCAGGCATTTCACCTTCGGAGATCGATGTTCTTGTGGTAAATGTATCTTTGTTTTCTTCTACTCCTTCTTTAGTTTCAAGAATCACTAACCATTACAAAATGAGAGAGGACATAAAAGCTTACAACCTCTCTGGTATGGGTTGTAGTGCTAGTCTTATTTCATTAGACGTTATTCAAAACATTTTCAAGTCACAAAAGAACAAGTACGCTCTTTTGTTGACTTCAGAGTCTCTTAGCACAAACTGGTATTCAGGCAACAACAGGTCAATGATCCTAGCTAACTGTCTTTTTCGCACCGGCGGATGCGCTATTCTTCTCACAAATAAAAGATCCTTAAAGCACAAAGCTATACTGAAACTCAAGTGTTTAGTGCGAACTCATCACGGCGCTAGAGACGACGCGCATAACTGTTGTAGTCAAAAGGAAGACGAACAAGGCCGCCTTGGTTTTTACCTAGCGAAAGATCTTCCGAAAGCGGCGACAAGAGCTTTCGTTGATAATCTAAGAGTGCTATCACCAAAAATTCTACCAGCTAGGGAACTACTCAGGTTTCTGTTCATGTCACTGATAAAAAAAGTGTCAAAGCTCCATGTTCCTAAGTCAGCTGCAGGTGCTGGTGCAACAATGAACAAATCACCATTGAATTTCAAAACTGGTGTTGATCATTTCTGCCTTCACACAGGAGGAAAAGCGGTGATCGACGGAATCGGAATGAGCTTAGATCTGAGTGAGTATGACCTAGAGCCAGCAAGAATGTCCTTGCATAGATTTGGAAACACATCAGCTAGTAGCTTATGGTATGTGCTAGGGTATATGGAAGCTAAGAAGAGACTGAAAAAAGGTGAGAGAGTATTGATGATAAGTTTAGGTGCTGGCTTTAAATGCAATAGCTGTTTGTGGGAGGTAATGAGAGATGTTGGAGATAGAAATGTGTGGGACGATTGCATTGATAACTATCCACCACATTCATTGGCCAACCCATTCATGGAGAAGTACGGTTGGATTAATAGTATTCAAGATGCAAAAATTTTCAGAGAAAAACTTGCTGAGTATTTTCTCAACTGATGTTAACTCCATTTTCATATTATTTATATATATATAAGGTACTATTATTTTTACATGTGTAGTGTTGTATCTGATTCTTACAGAAAGTGAAGAAAAAAATGAAGACAAGTTCTTAGAATTCATCTCTTATCATAATCATCATGCTTATTGTGCTTTTGGTTTTTCTTACAATTTTTTCTGTTCCCTCAAGGGTTCTACCCAATAAGATGTTCTGGTTCTAAATTCTATATGATAAGAATGCTGAAACCTATCACAGTACTTGTTGTTTGAATTAAATAATAAAAGTGTGTTATTGTTTCTTTTTCCTGGGTTTTAGTTGAATAATCAATAATATTAATATTTAGGATTATGTTAATAATTTTTTTTCTGTTTGGGGCCGAAATAGTTGTAACATAAGTATTGTGTTTGTTTTAGTAAATACATGTAATTTTCATTCTTATTGAGTAGATAGGATATATGTTGTGAGTTTTGATGGGGTTATGTTTATGTATTCTTTCTTTCTATATGTATGTAACTTTCAATAGAAAAATTAAGTTGAAAAGATGTAACTTGTCACATCATACATACTACTACTAGTCATTAATTATGAATGGGATCCTCTCATTTTCTTTTTCTCTCCCTATTTTTCTTCTATTTTTTATTTTTTATTTTCACACTCTCTTTGATTATTATTTTATTTTACAACAAATGTGAATTAAAACACTCTATTACTATCTCCAATTTAAAATGATTATTGTTTTAGAAATAAAATAATTTTAAAATAAATAATATTTTTTTTTAATTTTTCAATGTAGAAATGATTGTTATTCTTTTTAATTATATCATTTAATTATTATTATGTATATAGTATTCAACATATTTATAAGATTAATTTAATAAAAATGTAGTGTCTAATGATAATATCATTACATTATTTAATTTGTGTACAAAAATTTTAGACTGTTATTATTTTGAAACAAATGAAGTAATTTTATGACATATTTTTGGTCGATTAAAATTGACATGTATTATTATACTTCAAAAATAAAATAAGGGCCATAAAAAATATGTAGGGCTTCTATAAATTTAGTTATATTTATTTTATTTTAAATCAATAAAAAATAAAAAGTTGTGTTAATTCTTTGTGATAAATAATATTTTTTATTAAAAATAAATCAATATTCATTTATTTAAATTAATAGAGTACATCGATAAAACGTAATATAATTTCCACTGAAAATTGAAATAGTTTTTTTTATAACTTCCAAACTAATAGGATAAAACAGAAAATTGCATACATACATAATAATATCTCAATATCAATAAATATAACAGCATTTTTTTTATAAGCAATAATATATTTATTAAGAGAATTTAAGGAGACTCTAACTCATATATAAATTACTTTTCCGATAAATTACTTTTACAATAATAATAGCGAACTCACTCAAAAGTTTAAGTTATAAAAAAAATCAATTAGAATTTTGTATCAATCATAATAAAAATATTTATTGAAAAATAAAGACCCAAAATCTAACCACCACCCTTCAATATATATCAACCTATGCACAATACTATAATGGCATATATAATATGTAATATTATGGATGTGGAGTGGATTATTGAATATACATATTTGATTAAAGATGATAAAAATATATTTTAATTTATATTTTCTCATACTTTTTTATATTATTATTTGACAAAAACATACTTTTTATATTTTCTCATAATTAATATTTATAAATCACCAATTTTTTTAAATAATAAATATTATATCAAAATTTAAAAATAAAAATATATAAAACAAAACATTTTTACAAAAATAAGTATTTGTAACTTGAATTCTTGAGTTTTATGATCTGAATTACCATGGATAATATTTAATGTTATTGTTTTTATTATATTATATTGTTACATTACTGATTTAATAGTGTGAGATGACAATTTAAGTGTAAAAATTAACAATGTTATGTATATAATATTTAGTGGTATTTTTTTGGTACATATTACGATAGAAAATGTTACAAACCTTAAAGAATATTAAATTTTATAAATTATTTTTTCACTTATTAATTTATCTATATTTTCATATAGGTGGGTGGAAATATATTAAATTTTATAAAAATTTTTTCACTTCTTAATTTATCTATATTTTTATAGTAAGTGGGTAGAAAGCAATTAATACAAAGTAACATTACAAAATGGTAGCATTAAATGATCGGTAAATGTTTTATTTTTTCTCTTTTTTATGCAGCAGGTAATAGTTTTTTCTGATAATTAAGATAGGAGGAAATACATATTAAAAATTGTGTTTAGTAGAAGGGAAGGAGGTACGATGGTTGGTATAGGACATGTATTCCTACTCTATACTAATATATGTTTATATATTAATTAATAAAAAATACTTTTTTTAAGTAGAAAAATATAATAAAAAAAAGTTAAAAAAGACGGACCCAACCAAACTCTCTCAAAAAAAAATATATAAAAATAAAAGTTAGAAAAACCAAAAAAGAATTATAGAAAGAGTAACGAAAAAGAGGTTAAAAAGGCAAGTATCCATTCAATAATTTTATGTAAGAATTTATCCATCAAAGTGACTAATTTCTTTTATTACAATGTAATACGTTTAAAACTTTCCAAAAGTCATGTTATGTATTGGTACATATCTTTGAAAATAGACGTTCAATTTGACGATTAACTGTGATAGTAGAAATTTATCGTAATTTTGTGTGTACGTAATCATTCAATTGAATGAAAAAGGTTAATAATTTGGCAATATATTGTACGTCAGCATTAGCAATATACGATGCACGTGTGATTAGAAAACAAATTGTTCAGTTCATCGCCTATATTTACTTATAATTTCAAAACATGTTTACTTTGAATTAACTCTCTTATATAATTTCAAAAAAACTTGGATCAGAGAGAGTAACATGATATACATGGATATTACAACCAAAATTTATTATATTATTACCTAATATCAAACAAAAGTATTTAAAAATATATTGAATAAAATAACTAATTTGTCATTCAAAATTTATTTCTGCAACGAAATATCTAAAATATGTTCCGTTCATAATCTTTTAATCAACATAATAAATATATGATAATTTTCAAAGTTAACAAAATAATTGAAGAGATCATACAAATCTACCACTTTTGTATGTTACAGATTATAAATAAATCAATTAAGTAATATTCTGCAAAAAATAAATAAAATATTTGATATTAATTATTAAGCTAAAAAATAGGATCACCTTTTTAACCTCTTCTAAATAATTTTCATTCCACCCACAATAAAACGCAATTATTTAGGAATCAATAATTTTCTTCCTGGCAAATATAAGTAATGAAAAAGAAAATCAATCTCAATAGCACTTTGCAATTCAACCAACAATTTCTCAAATGTCGGGGAATTAAAGACGAATTCTTCATAGCGGAGATAACCGAGATCGTCTCCAACCAAAGCTTATTCCAACCTCTAGAATGAATGAGCAAGCTCCATAATACTTATTTAAAATTCTATAATTTATCAATTAACTAAAATAGCATTCTTGTAATAAATGTATTATTAAAAATTAGATGTAAATATACAGTAATAATTGCTTCAGATTCTGTTCAAATTGTTGTTCATGCAAATTATCTATTTCGTTGTTGTTTCAATTAATTCGATTGGAAATTATTTTCAACTATCTTCTAAAGTGTTGTTGATATAATCATAATCACTTTGATTGTGATTATCTTTTAACATCAACAAAAAAATTGAATTTTCAAACGCGATTGATCGCACACAAAGTGTTCGATAAATTGTCTTTGAGTATTGTTATTGCTTTATGTTCATTGGAAATTGTCTTTGTGTTCACGCATCTTATCAATCGATTAAATACTCTAGCTAATCTTGTTTCCAATGAACTTGCTACTAACAAAGTTTTGAGATGTTTAAGTAGGGAATGACAGCCCAAGGTCACCGCCATCAAGGAGGCAAATGATCTTAAATCGCTTAATCTCACGACTTTGTTTGGTAAGTTGAAACAGCATAAGCAAGAGCTCACTTGCTTAGCAAAATACGAAAAAGAATGTGAAAAGAAAGTGAAGAAGGAGAAAGGGAAAGACAAAGAAGAATGAAAGAATTCCATAGCTCTAAAGACTTCTAGTTCAAGGCCTTCTCAAAATGAGCAAAGGGATTGTGACTCTAAAGATGACAATGAATCCGATGAAGAAGCTATGGGATTGTTTATAAAGAGGGTTAATAAATACATGTTGAAACATGGTAACAAATATCCCAGCAAATACCATGATAAATAAAGAAGGTTATCAAGTTTCTCAAAAGAAGATGAGAACAAAAAGAGGAAGTCTCGAAATACTTGTTACAATTATGGTAAACTCGGCCATTTCAAGCCGGAGTGTCCTAAAATTAAGAAAGAAAAGGAAATGGGCCATCACAAATCGTCTTGAAAATCTAGAAGAGCTTATGCCTCTTGGGAGAGCGAAAGTTATTCATCAAGTGATCATAGCTCTACTTCAAATGATGAATCGGCCAAACTTTGTATATGGCAAACAACGGAAGAAAAAAGTTGTAAGTCACTCTAAACTTCAAGCTTCTCATGATTTATCCTTTTCTCAACTTCAAGAATCTTTTAAAAACCTACAAACACAAGCCATAGATGCTTAAAAGATTAGCTTCAAATAAACGAATTATTTCTCATTTAAAAGCTAAGATTTCAGAAAATGAAAAGAATATGGAAGCACTAAGATATTATAAAGGATCAATATGAGGATCCTAAATCCTTGTGGTTTGGTTGTAAAACTTGTCACATTTGGCAAAAGGAGTCAAGGACTCTTAAAGCTAAATTAGATAAGGTTTTGCAACCTAAGGTTACTTTTTCCATAGATACTTCCAAATATGAATTACCATCGTATAATCCTTATAGAAAGTATAGTTACTTTAAAAAGGAACCAAATTGAAAAAGGTTATCTTATCTTAATTTGCATTGTCACTATTGTTGCAAAAAGAT